TGTATATATTTCTTACTCTAAATATACAACCATTGTAGAAATGTTGAAAATTGTAAACGGGTATAAAGAAGAAAATAAAAATTATTATCTTCCCACTCAGATCTAACTATTGAGATTTAGATCTCAAGCCAGGCGTGGTGGCTCATGCCTGTAATCCCAGCACTTTTGGAGGCTCAGGTGGGAGGATTGACTGAGCCCAGGAGTTTGAAACTGACCTGGGCAATATAGCAAGACCTTGTCTCTCTTATTAAAGAACAGTCAGTGTGTAAGTTATATAAAAAAATTTTGTCAAGCTATTTTGTTAACATCTTGCCCTTTGCACTATTAGTTATTTAATATTAAATTCATGTTAATTTTAATGAAGGTGAGTCTGAAAACCCAGGAAGAAGAAGGCAGAGAAATGAAGCAGCAGTCTATTTGTACTACATTGTGAAGAGATTTAAGGTTCCTTTACATAAGGGCATTTAATATATTTTTTAGGATTTAGCAGAGCATGTAATGAGATTAATAAATAAAAAATTAAAGCTCAGAAATGAAGATAAATATTTCAGTATATCTCATGCATGCCTTTTCGGAGACTCTTCTCATTTGTAAAGTAAGAAATAATTAAGATATATAATTTTGTTTGTAACTTCTTTCTGCAGAGTAGTGGAATTTTGAACCTACAAAATCTTTGGATTTCATGTTTGTGTTTTGAAAAATTTATTATTTCTGTCTTTAACAACTTGATATTTTACTTTATCTTTTTAGTAATATCAAATATCTGGTGATAGACTTTAAAATATGGAATAGTTTGTAGAGTAGCTGGTTTTAAAGCCTTGCTGATGTGTTGAAATCCAAGACAGGATCTCTCAGAGTCTGTGGTTGACACTGCCCCACCCCCCCACCCTCCTTTTTATCCTTCCCAAGATTTGGTCTCAAGATTATAAACCTTTATTTATAGAGGAGGGTGGGGGCAGTCAACTTACTGCCTTCATAAACACACACAATAGTATGGTTAAGAGGTTTTTTTCTCTATTTGATTTTTCTTTTGGTTCTATACAAATAGATCTATCCTGATCCATATAGCTTTTGAATATTTGAGCAAATTAGTTCACCAGTTTGTGTTTCATTTGCTCGGAAAATATTTGAACATAACTGTGTGTTAGGTACTAAGTTTAATTATTGTGTCATTTGATTTTTATTATATAGGCATTGTCCAGTTAAACAGTTACTAGATTTGTGGGTTACCCGAGTTTTATGTGTGGAAACTTATGTAACTTACCTTACAGATCCTCTAACTTCACCTGCTTCATCCTTGTTTAATGACTTTGGTGCCCTCAACATCTCTCAGAGACGAAAGGTAGGTGAAATTGAAACTTGAATTAAACTAAACGGAATTTAGAAGTGATGTTGGCATTGTTACCTATGTAGTGTCAGTGTTTTCGTAAGTGGAGGGAGAGCTTTTTATGGGCTTTAGTGTTTTTCCTGCGTTTTTTTTAATCCTTTTTCTTTATCTTTTTATATGTGGAAATTTATTTGATCTCTGCATGGAATAGAGATTTTGTGTGAAGGGATGAAATCCTGCTTATTTTTGTTCATTTTATTTATCTCAATGTATTCTGTTTTTAAGATAACATCTAATTTAATGTTATAGTTGCTGTTAATGTGACCCATTGTAAGCATATTCATCATGTTTAAACTTTATTTTTTGATGGCTTTATCTAAATTTCAAAGATTCTTCCCTAATTTACTCCTCATTACAAGGCAAACTTAAAATTTTCAACTTTTCATAATTGGCCCAACAGTTTAAAAAGTTGAAAATCTCTTCACATTAGAAATTTAATTTTATTTGGAATTTAGATTGATAGACCATGTATGGATTTTTGAAGTATTTTATAAGGACTGATGTTGTGACAAGCTGAATAATTTGATGCCTTTGAGTCTTAATGAGAATCTTGTTAATACTAATAATCATCTAGAGAAGATAGTCTTTTTTGGTTAGGACCAGTTAAAGATGTTAAACAGGTTGTAAATCTTGGTGGAAGTTATTATAAAGTTATAACATTGTTTCCTAAGTAATGGAAGAAAGATCCAAAATTTAATGAGAGTAATAAATATAAAATTAACTAAAGCTCAGAAATGAAGATAAAATATGTCAATATATCTCATGAATATTAAATTTTAGAATAGCTGATATGAACTTAAGATACTTTTAAGAAGGATCTGATCAGCAGATAGTATAAAATGAAATAAATTCAAGAAGGTGGCGGTGATGGCTTCACGGTGTATAGTTATCCCCAAACTCATTGAATTGAAAACATTAAATATGTATAGCGTTTTACATGTCAATCAGACCTCAATCAAGTAGTTTTAGAAATTCAGAAAGACTAGATTTTCTTAAGACAAAAAAAAGTTATGAGGACCGATATAAATTATATTAAAACCTCATGTATCTAATGTTATTTCCATTTTGAGACAGATGAGAATGAGAAGGTAATTACAAAATGCTTTTTAGCAACTAGCATTGATAGACTGAAATCTGTGGGTTTAATTTAATGGATTTCCTTATAGGCTCTTATCATGGATAAATTTACTCTTGCTTTACATACTTTTCTTATAAACTGGAATATTTCGTTTCTAAATCCATATGTTAGAAGTAATAATAGAGTTGGGTAGAAACAGACCCAGGACAATAAACAAAGCCTAACAATGTGGAAACAAGCAGTAAAATGCTGAAAAGCAAACACAACCTGGAAATCAAGTTATCTAGAGCTTTTTACGGGAAAACAAAGTTTTAAAATTTTCTTAGGTATTTCCCTAATGACTTTTTCTCATTTAAAAAATAATAATCAGTTAACTTGACTGGGCAAGGTCAAGCCTATAATCCCAACACTTTGGGAGGCCAAGGCGGGAGACCTGCATGAGCCCAGGAGTTAGAGATCAGTATGTATAACATACCAAGACCCCATCTCTAATAAAAATAAAAAAAATCAGTCAGGTGTGGTAGTACACACCTGTAGTGCCAGCTGAGGTGGGAGAGTTGTTTGAGCCTGGGCGGTTGAGGCTGCAGTGAGCCAAGATCATGCCACTGCGCTCCAGCCTGGACAACAGAGTGAGACCCTGTCTTAGACAAAAAAAAATCAGTTAATAACTGGCATTGCAGATGTATGAGTAGAAAGTGAAACTAGAATGACAAATTAATATTTAAAAGTATTTCTAATATAAGAGGTTAGTGGGATGTGTCTTAAAGTGGAAATACATGATTTAGAGCTCCTGACATTTACTTTTGAGAAAATAATGAAAATTACTAGAAATTGAGAATATATAGTACCTATTCTTTTTATAATTTATTATAAAATAATAAAATGTTACTAGAAATGCTACTAGAAATTTGAAAATAATAAAATGTTACTAGAAATGTGACCTACATATTTGGAGAGACATTAGAATATATCCAATGGAAGCGGACTAATATAAAAAAATGAGCACTCTACTGTGGTATTTGAGGCCCTGGATCTCCCGTTTTGTGACCTTTGGCCAACTTTCTAGGCTGGAATCATCCCATCTGTGAAATGCAGAGCATGACCTTATCATTACCATAGTTGCTGTGGTGTCATTCATCTCTAAAACTTAATGTCTGTCTAAATTGAAAGCATCCACATGTCCCTTTCTACCTAGAAATTTGTGGTTCATATATTCATATAGCTTGAAGGACCATATTTTTCTTGCCATTTATGTTTAAAATGATGTGTAATCTAGGGACACAGAGTTTTTCCAGTAGTGAGCAATATAGTTAGAATCTATGTGAGTACAGGTTGCATATATTTTAAAATCGTTAATGGTTAAGTTGAGAAAGTTTCAAATCTCAAAATCTCTTTACATTAGAAATACTCTTGGCATAGGAGTATGGGATATTACCCATAGTGAATTAACGAAGTAATTTTAGTGGAAGTAACTCAAAATTATATGAATATCACAACTTCAAATTTATCTCAGCAGGCTAGCATAATTACTTAGTGATACTTTGTTTTATAATGATACAGGAGAACAGATAGTTAGACTGTGCTTACCACTGTATCATAGCTAGTGAGGTAAATTATTTTCTGAAAATCTCAGTTGGGCTAATCTCTGAACCAGATATGCTAACTTTTGCCTGTGGGATTATGTGATTTACTGGGGTCAGATTAGTCAGGTATTTTTGTAGTAGGCAGTTTTACTGTATGCTATGTGGACAAATTGAAAATGAAGGACTGAATTTTTTTTCTTCCGTAAAATCTAATTGGAGATGTAATACATGAACCTATAAGAGAACATTTACTCAGCAGCATATTAATTAGTGCCAATTTAAATATTTGATGATCACTAGGTAGCAAAGAATTCTCTAGATCCTGAAGAATTTCTGGAGAAAAGATGTTTTGAATTGGGTTTTTTGTGGATGATGAATGTATTGAGGCAAAGATACCTAGGCAAAAGGTATGCTTGCTTACAAGTGATAGAGGCAGGAGCTTTAGTAAACTCTTAATTCTTCTTCATTCTGAGAATCATAGATAAGCTAAGAAAATATGGCTGAGGGCCTTAGTATCTTTAGGAACTTCAAGGAAAATGTGGTATGTGAAATATAGTACAGTCTGTTACAGTGGCTCGTGCCTATAATCCCAGCACTTTGGGAGGCTGAGGCTCGAGGATCACTTGAGGTCAGGAGTTCAAGACTAGCCTGGACAATGTAGTGAGACCTGGTCTTTACTAAAAACCAAAAACATTAGCCAGGAGTGGTGGTGAACGCCTGTAGTTGCAGCTACTCGGGAGGCTGAGAGGTGGGAGGATGACTTGAGCCCAGGAGGTGGAGGCTGCAGTGAGCCATAATCACTCCGATGCACTCCAGCCTATGTGAGAGAGCAAAACCCTGTCTCAAAAACAACAACAACAACAACAACAACAAATAAAAGGGTACAGAAGGGTCACAGCCATATATCTGGGCTGTATAACTGTTGTTAACTATATGAGAAACTTGTGTGGTGAGAATGTACGCCTTTGGGCAGTACTACTCATAATGTGTCATGGGACCAGGGCTAGTCTAGAGACTTGTCTGTTAGGAGATAAACACTGAAAATAAATGTCTAGATACTTCTGTAACAATTTGATAATACCTTGACATTCAATTATGGAATCGTTTTTCTAGTGATTTATCTTTATTTTACAAAATTATAGGACCATGATGTATAGGAGGTTTTTAAAAAAGTAATCTTTTTTGATGTTTGAGAAGCACTGATTTTCTTTTATTTGCCACATTAGGAATGCCTAATTTTATAGATAGAAAAAGTAACCATTATTTGAGTTTTGTTAAATGTAGGAGTTAATATACAAGAGATTATTACATGAGTAAACCTTAATAGCAAGATAGATAAAATTAAATTTGACCACTGTTACGAGAAGGAGTAGTTTTGTGAGTCACTGTGAATCACAGATGTGATCTAGACAAGCATTAAAATTTCCGATGAGAAATTATTTGGGAACAAAGTATCTTTACAACAGAGTTAGATGTTGGAATACAGATATTCATAAATGAAGTGGTTCAGTGCTGTGATATCTTGCTAATGATTCTTGCTAAGACAGAAGTTTTTATGTAGGGCAACCATGTATGATTGAGGCAAATCCTAGGCAAAATGAGAAATCTTTCAAATTTGTGTCTAGCTTTCTCCTTTTATATCTTTTTTCTCCTTTTATATCTTGGCTTTCTCCTTTTATATCTTTCTGGGCTATTGCCCTTCTTCACCTTCTTTTTTTATTCACCCTGTCACATTTTATTCAGCTTCACCCTACTTCTTCCATTTATTAAAGCAAAAAATGGTCTGATACCCATCATTTGTATTTCTTTGGTTTACTTTAGTATATTGTTTCAGTCAATATGCAGTTTTACCTGGATATTTGTATTATATTTCTAATACTGAGAGAACAGATTGTCACTCTGTAAATTTTTTTAAGTTTTAACATCAAGTTAAATTCTTTGGGGTTAAGAGGCAAAGACTTTTGAAGTATCATATTTATTTCTTCTGTTCTTGCTTTTAAAGCTTTTTGTTAGGACTAGGGAAGTGGGACCAAAGGGACTTGGCTGGTTCATCTGCTGATAGCTTATTTGTGAGGAGATGTGGTTGTTAGAGGTACAGTTCTGGATTTTTCTACTTGAGAGAAAAATTCACCAGCAGTACTTTTCTCTGCTTTCTTCTTTGTGGGAACCTAGATTGGGTCTCCCTTTGTGCTGTTCTTTATCTTAAGAGCACCCATCTCTCTTAGAAAACTTACTGATGATAAATATTTTATGTTTTCTGATTAACTTGACATTTAAAAGTTTTCTTACAGCAT